ATGCAAATAACCTTTCATGCACAAAATGATCACCAAACCCCATAATCTCAATAATGCAAAAGGGTGGATAAAATTTAACAAAAACATCACTTTAACCATTCTAACACATAATAATCATAATTATATCACTTGCACTATTATCTTGGCTATTCACATAATTTAATCACCAATACCTTTAATCTAGGCCAAGATACACACTTGTTTCGTAAATTCTTATACAAGTAATTGCAAAACAAATGGAATGCTCATAAGTTGGCACAAAGTATATAATATTCATTATAAAAACCAAAATGACAAGGGAGAAGAGCTTATACAAATAAGCTCTTCAGTTTTCAATTGTCCCTTCCTTCTCCTTGCCCCTACCGGAGCCCTCACTTGTAAAATATAACCATGGGGTGAGATAAACATCTTAGTAATAGAATAATTTACTACTATCAATTAACATGCACAATTATGAAGGAGTAAAGCTAATATGTGATAAAATACTCATTTAATATAATCCACACAATTTTTTCTATCACTATGATTCAATTCCACTCTAACATGATCATTCTACGATCTGAGCCTTCATATCACCCTGATTGAAACCATAAGCTTTTACACTAATTGCACATTCACAATAGCCCAAGCTCACCTTCCATGGTAAGATCACCCTGCCAAAGGTGTCCTATCCCACTTTTGAACTATTGTTTCCCCCTATCGCACACGAATTGAGGTGTCGTTACTCCAACACCGCATAACTGATACTAAGGGGAGTCAATCTCCAATGTCGTATCCCACTTAGATACTAATGAGACAATCTTTAATAATGTACCTTACTATGTATAAAGGTGATACATTTTATATGGACTTCCACTACTCCTTTCTACGAGTGAACTCCTACCCCTTCTCATGATCATGCTCACACATCTCATAGATAACACATATTTGTATCCAATTCACATTTAACCCATATAAGAGATTTTCACAAGTTTATTGTTTGGAAATTATTTCAAATGCACAAAAATCTTATTTCACAATATGCAATGCTTTCAAATTATATGCAAAAAATTTACATATCTACTCATAAGTAGTTAAGTACTATAATCAAATGGTATAAATTAAACCACGATAATTATTACTCCACACATTTCCACTCGCACAATAACACTCAAACAACCCTTGATCTACACAATTGAGTAATAATTATCGATTATTACTTTGATTAAACCCTAAAATCACTAGATTTCAAGTACCCATAACACCTAAACTCTTCATTCAACAACTTCAACCATTCCAATCCATTCCATTAGTCCTATTTAACATCCAAACACTCTAACATAACCAATCAACAATCCACATTGTCCAAAATTACCAATGTTCATATAGGGTTTATCCAAACCCTAATCAAAAATTGTAAATCAACATAAAACCCATAAACCTAGCATTAGAAGCTTGGTTTAATTCTACAAGACCTTATTTAAGGCCATGGGTTTGTCCATTATCTAAGAGAAACTGAAAACAAGTCCTAAAATTGCCCTAACTATCAAAAAATTCAAATATAGGGAGAAAGAGAAATGTAGGAAGCTTACCCAATGATAAATCTTGCCTTAAATGCTTCCAAATTGGTCTAGAGGTCATGCCCTAATAGTCACCGATCATTTCTCGTCGCTTCCTCGTGTTCTATCTTTCCCTCTTTTGATTTTTCATTTTTTTTTTTTGCGAATGATAAATGTAGATTTCTACACATGTGCCGCAGTGCATTGACACATTCGTCATGATGCATGGCACAGAGAGTTCTACACAAGTTTAAACCTCCCTTCATGCCACAGCTTGCTTAAACTCTAGCTTAGCCCTCTCCTAAACCTGGCCAATAATCCAAAAACTATATTAATCTCCCATAAATATCATTAATAAAAAATTCACTTGAAATTGCCATTCTACCCTTATAATCACTTAAAATCCCTAGATTGAGGACTTACAATATTACAATTATTTCAACCAATCACTTTGATCAATTATTGGATAATTATTGAATCATCACTACTTTTTTAATAATATTTTAGTAAAATATTAATACTTTAATATTTAATAATTTACATATTAATATATGTGTCTTCCTTCAAAATTTATAATTTCTTTTAAAAATTTAACAACTCAAATACTATATCCAAGATTTATAGGCAAGAGTGGAGCTAAAAAATTTCATCAAGGGGTTGAGATAACAATATATATATATATATATATATAATAATTGAAGAAATGTTATATATATATATATATATATGTATGTATGTATGTATGTATATCACTAACATAACATAAATATTTTAACGTATATATTTATATTTAATTTTATAAATATATAACAAAAATAAATTGATAGCTTCATTTTTTAAGTTTTAATCATCAATTTTTTATGACGTAAAAATCATTAATTATTATATCTATGATAAAATTTTTAACAATTTTTTTCTTAATATAAACTATTATTAAATTGATAAAAATTTTATCTTTCCTATGAGTATTGAATGATTTAAATATATCATTAGGATTTAAAGTATTGTTGGCATCATATATAATTTATTAGTTTATTAAAATATTTTATTGATTAATATTAACTTTTCATTTATAAAAAGAATGATGCATGATGTATATATGTTTATATTAGTCTTTTTATAGATTTTTAAATTAAATAATTTGAAATAACACATGATTTGTGTGCCAAAATGTTTTTAAAAATTATATCTTATATATGTTGATTTAAGTTTTATAAAAATTTAAATATTTATTTCATCTTCTATTCATATTTTAATAATCAATGAAATTTAATTCTAAATAATTTATTATAATTAGTTATTGTTAAATTACTTAAACTAATAATATTTATTAAATTAAAAAACTTGGCCCCCCTAGGTTTAAAGTCTGGTTCCGCCATGATGGGATGATATTATCCAACGTATGGAAATTAAGAATGACGCAAACTAAATGCAATCATATGCATTGTGGAATCTATATATTGTGTGTGTATAATTTGTTGCATATTTTGTTTTATTTGCGGTTTAATCTTTTACATAATTATATAAAGTCAATCTTTTACGGTTTCTAATTTGTTTTCCTTAGATCTTGGCTGGTTACGTGACTTTCAAATATTGACGGTTCTTTCGCTTGCATCCAAGTTAGTTTGCATATTTTCATAGCTTACTTGACTATCATGGTATTAATTAAAGTGGATCTTGCTGTGTATTTGCATGAAATTCAAAATGAGTCTTGTTGCTTGTGATTTATAAATAATGCATATATTGTTACCATTGATATGTGAAAAAAAAAAGTAGGAAAATAAAAATAAATAAAATAATTAAAAAGAGAGAAGTAAAAAATATACATGTGTAAGTTTATTGATTTAAGAAACCAAATAATAAAAAAAATTGAAATTGTGGATTTAATTATGGATTGTTACTTGTGATTTACAAACATGCTTCATCTTTTATTTGAATTATATATTTCTTTGATTTCCCCATGTAATTTGTTTATTGTTCAGTGTTCTCATTCTTGTTCTAATACTTCTCCAATCACTAGCGCTTTTTCTTCATTTTCTTCCTGTTAATTAATAGCCCTTTAGCGATTCTTCTTGACCTTCTATTCCGAAAAGAAAGGGCCAAACAAAATTGTTGCACTTCTTCAAACCATTTTGTGTGTTCTATTTGTTTATTGTATTTCCATCCTTTGATTTTTCAGTTTTCTGTCCATTAAAAGATGTTTAATTTTGTTGTTGTTCTTCTTTATTTTTCAAAAAAAAAACGCGCGCGCGCGGCCAATTCGCAGTGAAAGGGGCCTCTTTTGCAACACTGATTTATTTTCTCCTATTTAAATTATTTATTTATGGAAGTCTCTATTAGTCATTGCCATTTATTGTTGTTCGTCACCCTTCTTTTCTGGATTTTTTTTTTTAAAAAGCCTCTTTTTGCTCATATATATTATATTCAATTTTAATCAATGCAATTTCTGCTTCTGCTTAATATATAGTTTGTGTTTTTGAAATCTTTTTCTTTAAATTCTCATATTTTTCTCTAAAAAAATGTAAAAGGAATTAAAAAAATATTCCTGCTTTTCTAATTAATATGAAAAATTCTGAGGTCCTTAATTGTCCTCAATTGGCAATTCTGAAGTATGAACATGAATGAAGACAATTTTGTCATATTAAGATTTAGAATTTAGTTTCCTTCAGTCATAAATTCCTACAGCTGGTTTTAGGATGAATCCGGATATCCTTTAAAATAGTATATCCTTGGGTGAAGTAGAGAGATAGATTGCATTCTTTCTACCTCACCGTTGAGTAAGAAATAACAAGATTTGAAAAATTCAAACTTATTCAGGTTCTAAATTTTTTTAGGCTCAACTTTATTCGGGTTAGCCAAATTTAGTTAGAAGCGACTTATATATTGCACTAGAATAAGTACACAATCAAAAATTAATTAAAGAAAAGAATAATATAGATGATAGAAAATTTAACGTGGGAAAAACATCACTGTAAGGGAAAAAATACCCATAGATAATGAGAGTGAGAAATTCCTCAATTATAATATACATTTTATGATAATCGTTTCATTTGTACATGACTAGATGTGTGTCTGTGTGTGTGTAGAGCTTCTGAAAAACTAAAAAAAACTAAAAAAACTTGGATGATGAATAATATCTCCTAAAAATTCAATTATAAATATGACATAGATATGAAAAAATTTGGGCTAAGATAATAATTAAAAATAATTAGAATGAACTATATATAACAATTGAAGTTATAACTCAACATTATCTGGTTGAATTAAAAAATGTGAATTGTTTGTTGCTATATATTATCCCACTCGCATGCGGTAAAGATCTTACATTAAGATTTAGTCGGGTATCTAGATACGTATCTTGGTCTAGTTATTTTTGTAATGGCAGTCTCTTATGTATGCTAGATGGTGGACATCGGTGCCAGTGTTGCGGCAACATGCACGGAAATATAGGTCAACTTAGGAATGAAGCAAATTCCGTATTTGTGTTGTTACAACAGTTATGCTAAAGACTTTGAAAAGGGGAAACAAAGATTGTCAGCTGAAAAGCAAAGTGTGCTCCAAGAAATAGATGAAGCCAATACAACTAGAAATAAGACTGAACCTGACCCGATAGTCCAACATGGAGCTATGAGTGACTTAATCAAACTTTCTTTGACATCTTGGTCTGAAATAAAGTGTTTGGTCCACGCTGAGAATCTTCAACTTAAATCTGGTGTGAATGTCTTCTCCAAGTTAGTTGAATTGCAACTTGTTAAGGTGGATATAAGAGAAATGTGTTTTAGTCATTATCCTGCCAGCTTTCTCAAGCAACTAGAGAAGCTGGAGTTAAAGGATTGTCAAATGTTGGAAAGCACATTATTTAAGGGTGAGCTAGAGCTGGGTAACCTTAAGTCGATAGAAATAAACAATTGTTCTATGGCGTGCATTTTTCATCTGTCCATTGCTCAGGCTCTAAAGCAACTAGCAACGTTGAAGATAAAAAGATGTTCTGAGCTGAAATGCATATTAAGGGACGAGGGATCATCAATAGAGGAGAAAGTGGATGATAAGGAATCTAATCCAAAGAGTAGTCATGAATCAATGTTTCCCAAATTGAAACTCCTTCATGTCACAAGGTGTAAGGAATTGGAATTCATATTTCCAGTTTGTTTGTGCGAAGATCTTCCATTACTAGAAAGTGTGAAGATTTCAGAATGTGACAATATAAAATACATGTTTGGGCAATATCCAAGAGAGGGAGGGTTGTATCAAATGCAAAAAGAAATCATACTACGCTCATTGAAAGCAATGTCTATTGAGGATGTTCCAGAATTTGTGGATATATATCCAGAATGTCGTCTCCCAAAAAAATCAATAGCAAATACAAGTGAGGTGTCAAAAGTAAAAGACAAGGGTCTGAGTCACAATGTAGCTTGGGGTCCTTTATGTTGTTTTCTGCCGAAATCCAGCACTTCAAATAAAGATGATATATCTATGTACAAGGCAACTCAGTCTAATCCCACTACTTCCCAGGTACATATACATGTTCCTCCCTCTCACTTTTATTAATGTTTCTTTTCTTTGAATGAAGAATTAATTAATAGATTTTCTGCATTGCAAAGAAAATGTTCTAGTTACTTTGTCCATTATGTGCTGCTTGGGACAGGACATTTACAAGTTATTTTTCATATCAAACTTACAAGTTCCAATTTGTGTATAATTTTTAATATAGATCTGAAATGTCTCATCCTCGTGTTTTCACGTCCTCCTATGGTGCTACGAGCTCTCCTGGGGGCCAAAAGAAAAAAAAATTAAATATGATATATACACATTTTAAATTTATTAAAGATGAATTTATATATTTGTCTGAAATGTAGGAATTGTATTAATAATACGTACATTTGTTTACATTAAAATTAATAGAGTGGAGTTCATTACATAAGAGCGAAAGGTTGGGCCATAATATTGTTTGCTTCTGGGTATTTTACTTCTTAAGGAAAGAATATTTTTGTGGTTTCATCTCGTTTATTAACAAATTTCAACAAGCAATGATATATATATATATATATATATATTTGCATTTTTGCCCTTGAAGTATTTTTCAAGAAGCACCCAACATTTTTAACGATTTGTTGGAGTAATTTTACCTTTAAAGTAATTAAAGCAGAGTATTTTTGCCCTTGCCATCAAATTTCTAGTGTTGACTATTAGAAATATTAACTGGGACTTTAATGTTGACCGTTAATTTAATGGCAAGGAAAAAATTGCTCCATTCTAATTATTTTAAAGGTAAAATTGATATAACCAATAGCTTAGAGTGCCAAGAGCCCCTCAAAGAATAGGGAAAAAATGCTACTTTATCCTTTTTTCTTTTATTGTTAAAGATTGAGCCACTAAAAGATATTGTAACTAAGATTTGGGATCAACTAATGCTTGTGTGAAAACTGCATGAACCAACATTTACTTTATGACTCTTCATCTATGCCACTTTATAAAGTGGGGAAACCAAATTTTATCATTAAAAGTGCACCTTTAAATCATTAATTCTTGAATAAATTGGCCCACTAGCTGAAGAAAATATTTGTGTCCAAAAAATATGAATCAATTTTTTGAAAATTTGGGGTGTGGCTAGTTTATATTTGTATACAAAGGGTTCATCATTGATATGCAATGAGTTTATTATTTAAAATTTAAAAATTTATAGAGGATTTATTATTGATATACAATGATATATCATTAGCAAATATAATAAACCAGCAATAATACAAAACATAATAGATGTTGAGCTGTTTGCTTGGTTTGATCTTATAACATTGGTTATATTTGCAAAGCCTCCTTAATCCTCTAACTAATTTATATAAATTTTATTCTTTAATTTTATAAAATATCTCTTCAACTCTCCAATTCTAATATTGTGAGTCTCAATTTTTATTTTTTGTGCCAATATTTTGGACTTGCATCACTTACAAGAAAATGAAAAAAATAAAATATTTACAAGTTAACATATACAATTTTAATTTATTGAAGATGATTGTATAGAATATTACAGGAATTAAAGGAGGAGAAATATGTTGGAAATGCAGCTTACGGAATTTTTACTCCACCATTATACCCATTCACTTTAAGGGAGATGAAGATAGGAGGTATTACCAAGTTAACATCATTGTTTACTGTATCCATTGCCTCATCGTTGAAATCATTGGAAAAATTAGAAGTCAGGCGGTGTGATACACTAGAGCATATTGTAACTGACGAGAGGCATTATGGTCATGATGATGATATGAATGCCAACTCCATCTTTCCTAACTTACACTCTATTGAAATCTATAGATGTGACAAGTTGAAATCTATATTTCCAGCTTCTTGTTCTACAAGCCTTGTGCACTTGCAATCTGTGCTTATCGAGGAGGCTCGTGAGTTGAAATATATGTTTGGAAAATCTTATGGTGATGATAATTCACTTGATTACCACAATCATGATGTTGAGATTCATCTCCTAGCTCTGACCAAACTATGCCTGAAAGGAGTACCAAATATGGTCCGTGTGTGCCCTGAACACTATTATGTGACAGCGTTCTCCCTGAATGATATCTCTTTTGGATTAGGATGCCCACAACTTGCTATAACATCTCTTACAGATTTGTCTGTCGGTGGGCATAAAGGACAAGAACAACTCTCAAGAAAAGAGGTAATTAATTAACCCTCTTAGTTTCCAATTGATCGTTTTTCTACTAGTTAGTTTATGATTGATTGATACTAATATGTATTATGATATAGGTAATTGGGATGCGCATGTGCAGTTTGAAACATCTTGCTTTAGCTTCCTTGGACTTGGAAGTAATTTTTTATCAAAGACTTGAAATTGCAAGTCTTGTGAATTCATGTTTGGAAACCCTGAGTTTGGATGACTTGGATAACTTAAAGAACATATGTGTTGGACCAAAGAACTATCTGAGGTTTCAAAATCTTTTCAAGCTAACAATTAATGATTGCAACCAATTGAAATTTATCTTGCCTTCATCTATCTCGAGAAGCCTACCATATTTGAGACACTTAGAGGTATCAGATTGTGAAGAGTTAGAGCGCATCATTGAGGATGATGATGATGATGATGATGATCCGCATCATCAAGAATGTTTTTTCCCAAATCTACATAGGATTATTGTGACAGATTGTGAGATGTTAAAATGTTTATTCTCTCTCGCCACAAGTGGTAGGCTTCCACAGCTCTCCATGTTGATGATAAATGATGCTATAAAGCTTGAGCAAGTATTTGGATGGAAGCAGGGGACAACAGAAAAGCTGGTCATCAAGGACTATTTCCCAAAACTCTTTGTGATAGTCCTTAATAATCTTCCAAACCTTCATTATATCTGCCCTGGAATTGATTTCCAGACAGTGATATACCGTCATGTGGAGAATTGTCCCAAGATCTCTTTAACCTCAATTAATTTTGATTTCGCTGAAGGTACGCATCCAAAAGATTGATTAATTATATTTACAGTTGCTACACACACACTTTTGCAATGATATTTAATTATATCTGCCCTGGAATTGTTTTGTTTGGTAGGATATGAGGACTGGTTTCGAAATTCTGAGAGTGAAAAGGGCAATATGGATGTAGATAATCTTTTCGAACAATTTCTTGAGGTAAGTACCAAAATAAAATGGATATAGGAAGAAAGATTCACACACAAAACCAGTCTAAATGTTTTAAGTTCTTGAATGTAAAGAAGAATACAATTGCCTTCCTTACTAATTTAACTTGCTACAAATTAATTCACAACGTTTTCCACTTTGCCTTCTATGATTTACCTTTTGTTACTGAAAGACTTTCAGGCCATTTCATCTTTTTTAATATATTTGGTTATTGTTCAGAGGTTAAGAGAAGTGTCAGAGAAGGCTATAAAGAGGGATTGGCTAAGAGTAGACCAAGATAATGGTTCCCCAAATGTATGTATATTATCCTTCCCTATAATCTAACATATGAAGCCTGCAAATATATTTCCCTCAAAGTTTGTTCCAAATTTTGATACGATATCAATAAACTAAATCCAGAACTTTTCTTTGTGGTTTCCAATATGTTGCAGATTAAGAAAATAGCAGAGGCAAGTGTTCAAGAAAGTCCAAAGTCAGAGGAAGCTGTAAAAGCTGATGAAATCAATGATTCAGAAGAATGCAACAAACTAGCACCGTTTGCTATTCCTACACAAATTGAATCTCTACAAGTAACATTATCATCTTTTACAATGCTAGATGAATCAGTTAAATTTATGCGGGTATGTGAATATTCAAACATGTTCATGTAGAGTGAAAGAGGACTTGATTTGCATCCTAAAGAGCAACAATCAAAGCCATCAAATTCTTCCTCCCATAAAGCATCTGCTCAAGTAAGTTTATGAAGTACCAAAGCATAAGGAAATGGAATTGTTTTATAAGTTCTTTTTTTTTGATATACCATCCATGATAACTCCATCATCTAATTCAGATATTTTAGAACATATCCCTAGCAAACACCTTCACCTGATTATGTTCTGCAAAATCTAGCCAGTAAAGTTTTTTTTTTTTTTTTGAAGTAGCTACAAGCTAAAATTAATATACTACTTTGTGCTATGCAACAAATTGTCAAGGAAACAATGAAGCCAAGTGTTCAAGAATGTTTGAAATTAAATAAAGCTCTCAGACCAAATCAAATTATGGATCTAGAATTAAGCAAGCCATCGCCCACAGCATTTGTTGTTCCTTTAGAAAATGAATCTTCACGTGTAAGAACATAGTCCTTCCTCATGCAAGTTGAATTTATGCTAACTGATGCAACTTTATCATGCTTTTTGCATATCTATGTTCATTTAGGATAATTTGGTTCGTAAAGAGGGTAAGGGAAAGAGAATCACACCAGATCAAGAAGCACTACCAAAAGCAGAACCGGATATGCATCCTGATGATTCACAAAAGTTAATTGATGACAATAATGTATAGAAGACTATATTTCAATGCTTTAGTGTCATATAAATGTCAAACTGATTATATGATTTGGTTTTATGCAGAATCCCGAAGCAAGTGTTGGTGAAGGTCTTCAACCTGAGAAATATGACAAAGCAAGTTCAACAACTCCTTCTGATCCAGAAGTCTCAAACGCATACCCATTAACTTCCACCAAGATAGATTTAGTTTGTTGCGCCCATGTTAGCTTTAAATAGGTCTCATATTGCTTATTCATTCATTTGCTTAGGTGGCATGTAGAAAGGAATCAATGCATGATCAAGAAGCACTTGAAGAAAGTATGATGGCCAATGAAGCTCCAAATCAAAGAGTAAATGGACCTCCCAATTATTACATTTTCCATTTCCAGCCCATTGACTTAATTTTGCAATATTACTGATACTTCACTTATTTTTATGGTCTCAAATCCCTTCTATCTCTACTCCAAAGAAGCCTCAAATGGCAACTTCAGCTTCTCACAGAGAGCCAGCTGGTAGCTTACAATCAGACATGGATATTTCAAACGTTATTGAATTGGCACAAGTAAGTTTATAGTTTAATGCATTGTTTGTTTGGTATTAATTTTATACCAATTTCATAAATTTTTAATATATATATACACACACACACAACAACAAGCCTTATCCCACTATGTGGTGTCAGTTATATGAATTGTATGACACTATTATGCTCTATCATTTATTAAGTTTTTAGAAATATTGTTAATTAAAAGGTCTTGCTTAACAACATCCAAAAGTGTTCTCTTCAGTCTTCCTCTACCCTTCTTGACAAGGCTTAAAGTCATTTGTTTCACTTTCCTCACAAGTGCCTCCTAAGATCTTCTTTGTACATGTTCGAACCACCTCAAATGTTTTTCTACCATTTTTTCTTCAATAGGTACCACACTCATTTTTTCCTGTATTCGCTCATTTTGAATTGTATCTTTACATATATATATCCATACATCAATCTCAATATTCTCATCTCAGCTACTTCAACTTTATACTCTTGCTATCTCATCAAAGCCCAACTTTATTTTAATAGATCTATATATATATGTGTGGTAAAAATTATAATTTATCCTCTTACAGTATACATCATGCGTCTATATTGAGTTGCTTCTAATGCTAATTTCTCTATATAGTTTGGAAAAGCCAAAGACAGCCAAAGACACCAAAATAAAATAAAAACAAAGAGAGAAAATCATACTATATTTTAGAGATAAAACTAAGGCATCTTTCCATTTATCCTAGAATCAAATCATGGTCAAGCAAACAAAGATTGTAATCTTTTACAATTCTACTAGATAAATGAATTAAATTTACGGTGCCCCTTTAAATATTCACGTTCATGCAGAGTGAGAAAAGATTGTATTTTCATTTTAAAGATTCACGATCAAAACCATCAGATTTTTCATCCAATATACCGTCTTCACATGTAAACTAAGTATATACTTTATTGCGTCATTTTGAGCTACTAATAGTAGACTATAATAGTTTGAAATCACTTGCATTATAAATTTATCATACCTTTTCCTGACATGAAACAGACTTGCGAAAACAACAAACAGTTTCTCTCTCCATTAACATGTTGTAAGCTTTTGGAATACCAAAGCAGCTACAAATGAAATTGTTGAACAAGTTCTTGTTTCTGATATACCTGCAGCAAAGATAACTCCATCAGCTAACGCAGATAGTTTAAGAGAAAATTCCCAACAAACGGCCCTCCCTTAGTTATATTCAATTAGCTAATAAAGCAAATTGCTTTTGAAGAGATGGCACTAGAAATAACCGCAAGCTAATTAATTTACTGCTTTATGATGTGCAACAAATTATCAAGGAAACAATGATTCCAAGTGTTCAAGAAGGTTCTAAATTAGATGAAGCTATTGAAGCAAATCAAATCATGAATCCAGAATCAAGCAAGCCATCGCCAACAGAATATGCTACTCCTTCACATGTAAGAATAAAAATGTCCTTCCTCATATAGGTTGAATTTATGCTACATGATACAACATGATAGAGCTTTTTGCACATTTATGCTCATCTAGGATTATTTGATTCCCAAGGAGGGAAAGGTTGAGAGAATCACACTGGATCACCAAGCACTACCTCAAATAGAACCTGATATGCATGCTGATGACTCAGAAAAGGTTAACAATCTACACAAGACTATATCTTTAATGTCATAGAAACATGATACTAATGTCATTCTAGGAGTTGATTTTAATAACTTTGCTACTACTGCTTAGCTAACTTTATATTTCGATTAATTATATTCATTATGGTTGATTTTTTAGGTCTCTTCAATATCTAATGATTTGAAACCTCAAAATATTACTTCAACTCTTCAAGCAGATCCAAGCGGTTCAAAATTAAAACCATCAGACATTTCCTCTAAAACAACATCTGCACAGGTAAGTTTTATGCTTTGTTGAATTAATTACTTCCAGACATAATTTTGTCCTTAAATTTTGAATTACTAATGCTTAAATAAAGTATTTAAAGATTGTTGCATCATAAATTAATCATATTATTGCCTTCCAATCCGACATGTAATAAACTGACTTGCACGACAATTTCTCACGCAGCATGAGACTAATTAAGGCAGCAAATTAAACTTCTAGAGTATTTAGTAAATTTATAATTTATTCACTTATAGCATATAATTCATCATACGTGTACATGTATTGAGGTGTTTCTATTGTTACGTTCTAATACACACAGTAGAAAAGATTTAAAAAAAAATCTCTACTTCTCACTATATTAAAGATTGAAAACTGATGTTTCTTTGCATTCACTTTAGGGTCCAATCTTGTTGAATCAAGCAGAGACTTGCACTGAAGAAGATGATCTTATTAGATTGCTTCGCATGATGAAGGAAGGAGCTCATGACAACGAAGTTGAAATGCCTTGTGTTCCTGAAATTGCTGCTTTTGATGATAACAAATTGAGTGAGGCCGTTGCAAACTTAGAGTCCTCATTGAAGATGGATCTGAATCAGATAGCCATCTCAGAAGAACACATTCATCGTCTTGAGAATGCCCTCACCTTCCTCTCCACCTACTGTTCTGATAACGGACCTCTCTTTCATGGCCTTAGACTCAAAATAGACTCTCTCCACCAAGAAATCAAAACTACCTTGTCTTCCTTCAAGCAAGCTTCTGCTACAATTTACACACTCAACAAGCTTGAAGAAAAAGAGAAGCTAATAGATGAAAAATATTCCCAACAAATGGAGGCAGCCACTACTCTTGTCTCTGAAATTTCCAACACCAAGAAGAGTATGGCTGAGTTGAAGGAGGAGATCTCTAAGTTGCAAGTTGAACTGAATAGCAAAGACAAGGAATTCAAAGACAGTGAGGTCAAACTCTCATCTCTTGAACAGCAAAAGGAGGAGCAAATTTCAGACACCATGCGATTGATGGAGGAGTACGAGGTTGTGAAGAAAGACAAGTCACGTGTGGTGGAAGGCCAAACAAAAGCAAGGAAAGAAGTAGAGAAAGTGAAGAATGATTGGCCTTCTTGTGTGGCCAATTTGAGGAAAACTACACATCTGTTGGCAATCCTTCTTAAACGGAAGCTTTAAAGTTCTGGAGATCACCGCTACTCAAAAGTATTGTTATTATGCTGATTTTCACTTTAATTTGTTCACTATGTACAGGTTGAGTTGGATAAACGTTTGTTGAGGAATCGATGCCAGTACCTCTTTTTAGCTCTTAAATCAGCTTTATGGACTCTGTCATGAGTAGCCAGCCACAAAAATGCTTTGATTTTCTATGGTCTTGATCATGTCCAAATTTTGCTTTATATATATATATATATATGAAAATCATTTAAGGGTCCAAACTTGATCAAAAAGCATTTTAATTTTCCTCAATGCTATTATGCATGAGGAGAGACCACATTAAAGAAAAAAAAACCAACTTTTTGTTTGATATGATATAGTGGCTTGTAAAAATGTAATCACATAGTTGCGGGGATAACCCATTTGATTCATGAATTATATGATCTAGGCTTTAAAAGATTCATTTTCATATGGATTTATATTTTTCCAACTCAACTTGATCTTTATAACAAGTTATTTGGGTTAGCTCATAACCCAATTCATATTCCCAACTTTACATAGGCTCATGATATCCATAAATAATCACCGTGTGCAAGCATTTGGATATGGAACAAAGGAGGTCATGATTCATGAAGGAACTGATTTTAAGGAATTGAAAGCTTGGTTTTCTATTATATGATCATTCTGATGTCATGATTAATCTGTTGAGAAATCTAACAATTTTTTCCCATAAACCTTATGAATAAAAAGATTACAAGGGAAGAGTTATCTCTAATTCCAATTATTTATGCTTGATAATCCTCAAAATTGATATGATAATATATGATACCGAATAATTATATATAAAAAATTAATTTAATAATTCCCTTGATATTAATCCATATAAATATATATAATGTGTTATTAAGTAGATAGAACACACGCACAAATATATATATATATATATAATCAAATATATTATTTTTTTATTATAGTTTAACAATAATTATGCAAGCAATTATTCTACATTGTTAAGATATTAAACTGATTTAGTTACTGAATAGTAAATGCTAAATAGTTACATAATTTGTTATTTTCTTTTTTGGTAAAACATAAATTGTTATTTAGGGTTAGTTTGGATAACTTTTAAAAGTATATTCAAATCACATTTAAAATATATTTTTACCAAATCTAACAAATTCAACCTCTCAAATGAACTTTTACTAAATGTAAACTAAAAATCAAATGTAACCTTAATCATATAGGTAGTTAGTGTCGTGCAAGAATATGTGCACCATGACCTCAACCATAAATGTATTAGTCAAAACTTCAACAAAGTATGTATTCAGATTGTTTGATATCATTTTTTATTTTAAAAATATAAAAATATCTTTGAATTGTTTTCCTTTTTGCATGATTTTTTTTAACACACAATATTTGATTATGGGTAATTATTGTCAACCATAACCAATTACTACCATAAACTGTCACTATTAATTACTCACAATCATCCCTATCAGTCAATTTCTTAATTCTAAAATTATTTTTAAATTAATATAATAAAACAGACTTTCTTATTCTAGGCCGCGATAATCCCCACGACAACTTCTGGGTTGTTCTTCACAATATCATCAACATCAAAGAGTGATGGGCAAGTGAAGTGCATTGTCCTCGGATGTAGTGATGTTAGTGGACTGAACTTCTTTTGGATGATAATTGAATATATCTCCACCACTTTCTCCCACTTTCGCATACTTCATGCTTCGCTGCCATGGTTGCTCTGAAACTGATTGCTCTGTTGTTGGCCTATGGGCCAAAGCCACTCTGCTTTTCAGGACCCTAATGTCACAAGCTAGAGTCTGGCGCAGCACACGGCGCCCGTGCGGCGTCCCAAAGACCCCATAATCCCCGAGACAAGCCTTATCACATACGAATCCTACAGGTTTCGTCCTGCCATGGGCTCATCAGGGACGCGGCACTAGCCCCCGACCAGTTGTGCACTCAGCCTGAAGACTGAGGCAGAACACATCCAAATGCCAATGTCGCCCCCTTTACCCATATTGTGCGAGGCTAACCAGCGGATCGTTCATTATCTTGGTCTTTACACGGTCACGAAGATATCATTCGTGACATTCTCCCACACCCAATCTAGCATGCCCTCGTGCTAGGGGAGAAAGACTCTGCCCAAAGATCGCACATATAGTACTGCCACAAACACATCAGCTTACTGCTGAATAGCCACCCGAGTCTTGCACTCTTCGGACCCACTCACACCCGCGAGCCAACAGGAGTGGAGTCGACCACAGCCAACCTTCCTGCCCGAGTCCCCACTTTTGGACCTACCTGCACTTCGCAAGCCTACTGGAGCGGTGCCGAGATCAACTAGTCCCAACGTGGGACTCCACAGGCACACGGCAGTAAAGTACGTCCTGCTCTGATACCACTCTGTCACGGGCTAAGAGTCTGGCACAGCACACGGCGCCAGTGCGGCGTCCCGAGGACCCCATAATCCCCGAGACAAGCCTTACCACATACGAATCCTACTGGTTTCACCCTGCCATGGGCTCATCAGGGAGGCGGCACTAGCCCCCGACCAGTTGTGCACTCAGCCCGAAGACTGAAGCAGAACACACCCAAATGTCAATGTCGCTCCCTTTACCCATATTGTGCGAGGCTAACCAGCGGATCGTTCATTATCTTGGTCTTTACACGGCCACGAAGATATCATTTGTGACACTAAGCTCACATACGCGACCATTTTTATTGTTTGATATGATTCTTGTCCAGTATCATTGTGTTCACATTTTGCCGCCATTTTTATATAGGAAGCATGAGATTGTAATGCTAAAACTTGTGTGAATCTCTGTCTCATAACTCTCAACTAAAAATTAAAATAAAATGGAGAAAGAGAAGAACGAAGGACAAAATCACTACAGGGATTGCTTCGTTTTTTCCCCCCCTTTATCAGCCAACAATTTTTAAATTGTTTTCAACTAACAAGGAAGAATTAATCTGAATAAACTTAACAAATTCTTAATAAATCTACACGAGGCCTTATACTACGCAACAAAAAGGTTCAATCTAGCAAAGCAAAGTTAAAGGCATCAAGTAATTCTCAACAAAAGTAAACTTGTTTCTTGGAGGATAATGCCTTACTTCAATGTTTCAAAAGCCAAGCATCCATTAAACCATATATGAAGTAACATATATTATAACAAATGTCAATTGGTGTCTTGAAAGTACATAATATGTACCTTCCTTTCATTTCAACTCTCATTAAAATTAAACCATACATCAAGTTATCAACAGATTCCAATCAACACGCACATACACTAGAAAGTTGCAGAGTGCTAGTTCTATGCCTCAATTCGAAATTCTGAGATAACTCACATCCATTTATTACAATTTCAGCTGCTTCTGCAAACCAATTTGTACGCTTTATTTCCATCTTGTATTTAAAGTCTTTTTTTGATTTTTCTCGCTGCTCATTGTCCTTTCCAATCACAGGGATTTTTTCTTTCATTTTTCTTTCTGTTAATTGACAGTCCTTCGTTGTTGTTCTTGTTTAAAAAAGGCAAGTATTTGTATTTCATGACACTTTTGATTACATATTCGCACAAGATGAGCTTCTTTGTTATTGATGTAGCTAGGTTCAATTCATTAAAGCATTTTTCAATGTGCTTAGTATATTTTAATCTCCTTACTTTCATCTTCAGTTTTACATATTCATGTAGCTAATATCTTAAACTTTCACTTTTTTTATTTCCCAGATCTTGGCTGCTCCAATCACGCGAAGCTTGAATACTGAAGATTCTAATTAATGTTGCTTGAATCCAAGTTAGTATACATATTTTTAATCATGGTGTTCATTTATTCATTGAAATCTTTCATAGCCTACTTTTACCCTAAATAATAAGAGTGGATGTGTATTAAATTTATGTGTTTTTTATCTTCTAGCTTTTTAATTATGAAAAAAATATAATATTTATTCCTAAGTTTCCTCTCAATTATAGATTCAGTTTCTAAACTTTTAGGCTTTAGCTTATTCCACCTCCACTTTTATAAATATTAGTCCCTTCATTTAAAAATGTAAGGTATTTTTTGAGAAGTTGGATGTTAAAAAATATAAGACATTTTTAGTCTTTTGAGGTGAAATCATTGCTTTTTTCCAAAAGTACCTCTATTGATAGTGATTTTATATTTATTATAAAATGTTTAATAGAAAAAAATATGAAAAGATAAGGTTAATTTGAAAGTAGGTAACTACTTTATTGAGGAGTGAGATATAATTAAAAATACCTTAGATTTTTGAACGGAGGAAGTATGAGATAAGTAGAAATCATAAGAATAGAGTTGTTTTAAGTCTAAATTCAAGGATCAAAAATTACATTTTTCCTTTAATTATTTTATTTTGCTTTTCCAGTCTCCCAATTTCCTTTACATTTCATCTAATTTTTTTTATCTTATAATTTTCCTTTTTTAATTGCCAATTAGAATCTGATTATATATATATATATATATATTATATAATTTTCTCTTCCCCTCTTTCCCCTTCTTCAAACATTTTGTCTCTCAAATTATGTTCTTTACATCATTTGTCTTTTCATGATCTTTGAAAATAGTTGTGTTTTTTAAAAAAAAATTGATAAAACTTTTTACATATATATTGTTAGACAAAATATAATATTTCTAACTCTAGATCTATTAATATTCTTTTAATTAGTAGTAGTCATAATTTTTTATGTTTCATCATTAAAAAATATTTTCCTTCAAATATTTTGGGTTCATCCAATGATTGGAAACACAGTCTAATGAAGACCATATTAGAGTCAAAAATTAGGTGGAAATTAAATATCAAATTTGAATGATTTGAAACATAGCCAAAATTACTAGTACATTATCATTAGAGCAAGTTTTGTCCTATATATATATATATATATATAAGTTGTAGGGTTAGTATATAGTTTTCTAAAGAACCTTATAAAGATATCCACCAAACAAAATATACCATCTCATGGTAACAAAATATAAAATTTGTCACGGAATATTTTTTTTATTTCTGTCACAAATTTCATTTCTTATTATATTAGTGGACAGACCTTTGATGACCCCTTCATTATGAATATCCATAGACTAACAAAGGCACTAGCCATGGAATGAGCACGCACAAAGACTTCACATCTCACAGGCTTTATAAAAATATCTCACTTCTGAAGCAAAAGCTTCCTAATGCCCAAAATTAAATGAGATCCCCACAAGATAGCTACATATTTCCCTAAAGTTACAAAACTTTCATATATCGAGTTAGGGATGAAGAACATGCCAGGTCAGGTTTTGACCAAATAAGTGTGAGCCTGTAATATATAGAGGCTTCAAGTATGAGCCTATAATCAAGCCTTTTTTTTTTTTTAGTCAAGCTGAAGCTAGAGCCTCTAATAAGCCTAGCTAATCCATGCAAAGCATCTTCAATTAGTTGATCAAACTGCAAATTATCAAGTGGATGTGTGAGAATTATGGATCCATTTGGCCAGTGGTATATACCTTAGGCCAAGGAAATGGGAATGAATAAGGATGTTTTGATGGTCCATTAAACCTTGGCATTCCGATTCCTAAGGAGATTCAAGTTATAAATCGTAGGATTATAAAATGTGAGATAACTCTATACATGATCTGTCTTGCCTGTCATGGAAATCTTACTTTACAGCAAGAGTGTTTATATATCTAGCTAGGCATCTTGGTCTTAGATAGTATGCCTAATTCATTCAGAGCATGTTCTTCAAGATAGTTGATCCGCAACATTATAGACGATCTCTCTTGCATGTTTAAGAAATCTTAGCTTAGATTAGCTATGTAATCTAGGTATCTTGGTCTAGTTATATATTTTTGTAACTGTAATCTCTTATGTATGTTAGATGCCGAAGTGTGGGGCTAACATTGCAACATGTGCCAAAAGATTGGTAGATTTAGGAATGAAGGAACTTGAGTATTTGTGTTGTCAAAAGAGTCATGCTGATGAAGACGTTGAAGAGAGAAAAGAAAGGCTGTCAGATGAAATAGAAGCCAAAATAAGAACTACAGGCGTGGCATATTTTTCACGAGATCATCAGTTTCTGCATTTTAAGAGTAGAAGGGAGAAATTTGAACAGCTTTTGGAGGAACTTAAAGGCAAAGATAATCATACGATTGGATTGCATGGGGTACAAGGAATAGGGAAAACCACAATGGTGATCGAAGCTGGGCAACAAGTTGAATCAAAACCCTTTGGTAAAGTCATCTTCGTTACCACATCTGCCCCTGTTGATGAAAAACATATACGAGACGATATTGCAAAGCAATTGGACTTGAAGTTAAAGGAAGAGGAGAGATTAACACATGCACAACAAATATGGACTGAGATTGCAAATGCTGGAAAGGTACTCATAATTCTTGATAATGTTTGGGAAGAACTAATCAATCTTAAGAACATAGGGATTTGGCCTGGCTTCCATCGCACAGGTTCCTGTACTATTTTACTAACTACACGTTCACAAAACATTTGTTTCAAAATGAGTTGCCAAAAGAGTATTGAACTAGATGCCTTATCACCTGAGAATGATGCGTTGTATCTTTTCCTTTTTCATGCTATTAAAATTGGTCAAAGTTATCCTTACGATTTGAAGAAAGTGGCACTGGATATTCTAAATGAGTGTGGAACATTACCAATTATAGTTGTAGCAGTGGCAAGAATCTTTAGAGATTGTCCAGCAAAAGAATGGCACGATGCTTTGACATCACTAAGAAGTACCAAACCATCAAGGCATGAGATTGTTGATGAAGATGAGATGAGGTTTTATAATTCTTTCAAGTTTAGCTATACTTATCTAAAAGACAAAGAAGCCCAAGTTATCTTCCTGTTGTGTTCTGTATTCCCAAAATCTTATAAAATACCTGTAGAACTGTTAAGCAAAATTACTATAGGCTTAGGGCTCTTCGGAGAAGTTGACAAATATAATAGAGCAAGAAGTCAAGTGCCTGTGATTAAAGACAAACTCTTAAATTCTTCTTTATTGTTCAAGGCTGGTGAAGAATGTGTAAAGATGCATGATGTAGTTCGTGAAGTAACCTTAGAGATGGCAAATGAAGAGGTTCAAGTAATCATGGATCCTAAGCAAAAATTGAAGGAGAATATGAAATATTCAACTTGGATCATAAATGACTTCTCCAATTGTTTTGATGGGAGTAAACTTGAGGTTCTCTTAATATGGATCAATGAAATTGGTTCTTTGGAAGTTCCAAGCAAATTCTTCACAGGTATGAAGAGTCTTAAGGTGTTGCTTTTGTTTTCTAAGATTGAATTTGGGAGAACTTTAGCTTTGTCATTGCCAAAATCAATTCAGTCACTAGAAAATATCAAAACCCTGTCCCTTACCAATTGGGAATTAGGTGATATATCTGTGCTCAAAAACTTACAAATGCTTGAGACTCTGGAATTGGTTAATTGTTTAATAATTGAACTACCTAATGGAGTTAGTGAGCTTAAAACATTGAGACATTTAGGCTTGGTACATTGCTCGATTGAAAGGAATAATCCATTTAAAGTGATTGCTAGATGCTCACAATTAGAAGAATTGCATTATGTTTTGAATGAGGATCATATGCTCAAGAATGAAGAGGTTTCTCAAATTACATTCCTTCCAGGATATCAAAGATATAATATAAATGGTGGTGACTTCTCTGATTTTTGTTCTCCTCAATTGGATATTTCAATCAAAAAAAGCTTTAAGCCAGCCAAGCTACAAAAGATATTCTCCAAAGAAATGATTAAGTCATTAGCAACAAGAGCAGAGATTCTAGAATTGAAAGGAGATATTGAGTTTGGTCGGGATAATCTTATTCCTGGCATTGTTTCAATTGAAGATGGAGCTATGAAAGAGCTAGTGAAGCTTTCTTTGAATTCTTGGCATGAGATTAAGTGTTTGATCCATGCTGAGAATCTTCAACTTATATTTGGTGCGATTATCTTCTCCAAGTTAGTTGAATTGCAACTTGTTGATGTGGATATAACAGAAATATGTCGTGGTTGCTATCCTACTCGCTTTCTCAAGCAACTAGAGAAGTTGAAGTTAAAGTATTGTCTACAGTTGGAAGGCACATTATTTAAGGGCGGGCTAGAACTGGGTAACCTTAAGTCTATAAAAATAATGAGATGTTCAATAACATGTCTTTTTCATCCTTCCACTGCTCAAACTCTAAAGCAACTAGAAACATTAAAGATCAGTGAATGTTTTCAGCTGAATTACATAATAAGCAGCAAGGGATCATCGATAAAGGAAAAAGTGGATGATAAAGATCCTAATCCAAAGAGTAGTCATGAATCATTATTTCCCAAATTGAAACTCCTCTATGTTACAGGGTGTAAAAAATTGGAATTCATATTGCCAATTTGTTTGTGTGAAGATCTTCCTTCACTAGAAAGTGTGGAGATTTGGGGGTGTCGCCAGATAAAATGCATATTTGGGCAATATCCAGGAGAGAAAGGGTTACATCAAATGCAAAATGAAACCATACTTTGTTCATTGAAAGTAATGTCTATTAAGGATGTTCCAGCATTTGCGGGCATATATCCAGAATGTTGTCTCCCAAAAAACTCAACAGCAAATACAAGTGATGTGTCAAAAGTAAAAGATAAGAGTCCGTGTCACAATGTCTCTTGGGGTCCTTTTTGTTGTTTTCTGCCAAAATCAAGCACTACAGATGCAAATGATCCATCTATGTCATCCCAAGCAATTAAGTCAGGTACCACTACTTCCCAGGTACAAATACCTATTCCTCCCTCTCACTTTTTATTAATGTTGCTTTTCTTTGCATTAAGAATTAATTAATTGATTTTCTACCTCACAAATAAGATGTTCTAGTTACTTTGTCTATTATGTGTAGCTTGGGGCAGGACATTTACAAGTTATTTTTTCATATCAAACTTACAAGTTTCAATTTGTTAATAATTTTTAATATAGTATTTGAAATGTAGTAAAATTTAAGTTAGATGAGAAATGAGAACAAAAAATTCTTTGGTTATAATTTTTTAAAAATTAAAATAAATTAAAATGTCTCATCCCTCATATTATCACATCCTCTTATGGTGTTGCGATCCTTTCAAGGGGACAAACGAAAAAAAAAAAAAATGATATGATACATGCATCTTTTAAATTTATTAAAAATGAATTCAGTAAGTAGTATTGTAATAAAGATTTGGGACATCGGTTGATGAATGTTTACATTTGTGAGAACGGTATGAACTAACATCACCTTTTGACCCTTCATCTAAGTCACTCTATTAAGAAAGCTTCATGATCTTGAATAAATCGTCTGAATATGTTTTGTTGAATAATTTATATCAAACATATTAATATGGTATTTAATTTTTTGTTTGATCATGTTTCAATCTATACAATTTCATTCAATAATCTCATGGTTGATGTCTATGAAATAAATCATTTATTTTGTGCAAAAAGGAAAGCATTATATATATATATATATATATATATATCAATCAAATAACCAAAATTTGTCCATATACGTGCCACAGGGTGCAGGACATTTACGAATCACTTTTCCTCATGGTACTGACACGAGCCTTTTCGAACATATTTTTTGAAAAAAATTAAATTTTGCTTCATTGTTTCTTTTAATTGATTGAGAAGAATTTAGGATATTAGAAATTCAAATTCTTAATAATTTGCAAGCAATATAGTAGCTAAGACATAGCAAAGATTAAATTAGATGTGAAGGGAGGACAAAAGTTCTTTAATCAGTTTTTTTTTTTTTAAATTGAAACGACAACGCTTTCTCCCTTACACTTTCTCGTCCATTTTCTTTTGGACCTGCAACTCTTATAAGAAGACAAAAAAAAAAAAAGATTTACAACTTAACCTATACAATTTTATTAATTTATTGAAGGTGATGAAATGACATATTTATGTGGAATGCAGGTGTTGAAGAAGGAAAAATATGTTGGGAATACAGCTCCAGGAATTTTTACTCTACCACTATACCCATTCAATTTAAGAGAGATGAACATCATAGAAATTACCGAGTTAACGTCATTGTTTACTATATCCATTGCCTCATCATTGAAATCTTTGCAAATATTGAATGTTCTATGGTGTGATGCACTGAAGCATATAGTAATTGATGAGGGGAATTGTGGTCATGATCATTTGAATGCCAAGTCTATCTTCCCCAACTTACACTCTGTTTTCATAAATTGTGACAAGCTGGAATCTATATTTCCAGCTTCTTGTTCTATGAACCTGTGCATTTGCAATCTGTGAGTATCATTGGGGCTCGTAAGTTGGAATATGTGTTTGGAAAATCTTATGGTGATGATGATCATTCACTTGATTACCACGGTCATGATGTTGAGATTCATCTCCCAGCTCTGACCAAACTATGTCTTCAAGGAGTACTGAATATGGTCAGTATGTGCCCTGAAAACTATTATGTGACAGCACCCTCCCTAAATGATATCTCTTTTGAATCAACATGTCCACAACTCCATATAAATTCTTTTATAGATTTATCAGTCGGTGAGCATAAAGAACAAGAAAAACTCTCAAGAAAAAAGGTAATTACCTAATCCTCTTACCAATCAACTGTTTTTCTACTAGTTAGTGTATGATCGATTGATGCTAATCGAATATATTACGACACAGATGATAATCGGGATGCACTTGTACGATTTGAAACATCTCGCTTTCTCAGAGATGGACATGGAAACAATTTATGATCTTGAAAGACTCGAAATTGCAAGTCCTGTAAATTCAAGTTTGGAAACCCTGAGTTTGAAGCACCTGCATAACTTAAGGAACATATGTGTGGGGCCAAAGAACTATCTGAGCTTTCAAAATCTTTTCCAGCTAACAATCAATGGATGCAAACAATTGAAATTTATCTTTCCTGCATCTATCTCGAGAAGCCTACCATATTTGAGACACCTAGATGTATTTGATTGTGAAGAGCTAGAGCGCATCATTGAGGATGATGATGGTAAAGAGAATACCATCCACATGAGCAAGAATGTTATTTCCCAAATCTACGTAGGATTATTGTGGAAAAGTGCAAGAGTTTGAAATGGCTATTCTCTGTCTCCACAAGTGGTAGGTTTCCACAGCTCTTGATATTGGTGATAAATTATGCCCCACAGCTTAAACAAGTATTTGGATGGAAGCAGGGCTCAACAAGGGAGTTGGCCATCCAGGAAGTGTTTCCAAAATTATTTATAATAATGTTTATAAATCTACCAAACCTTCATAAAATCTGCCCTGGAATTGATTTTCAGACAGTGGCGTCGCGTCAAGTAAAAGCCTGCCCCAATATCTCTTTAACTTCAGCTGATAATATGCTGGTTGATAGTAAGCATCCAAAAGATTAATTAATTATTTACACTTGCTATGATTTTTCTCATGATAACATTTTGAATTGTTTTGCTTGGTTAGGATATTATGATTGGCTGGAAAATTCCGAGATTAACGAGGGCAAGTTGGGTGAATATGATTTTATTGACCATGCTGTGGAGGTAAGTACCAAAATAAAATGGGTCCATCAAATGAAGAGAGAGAGCACAGGGAGACAACAATCGATCATTCTTACACCAAATTTAGCTAAAATATAACAAAGAAAAGCTCGCCAATTAAAGCATGAGATCAATGAGAGTTAAAAGTTAATAATTCAGTAAATTCACAACTTTTTCCTTTTTCTCTTCTAACATTTACCATATTTATTAATGACCTCAATTCTTTCATTTCTTTATATCTCTGGTGTTATTGTTTAGAGGGAAATGGAAGCATCAAAAAGAGTTCAAGGGAGAGACCGATCAAGAGCGGAACAGAGCAACATCTCACCAGATCTGTTAAACGTACGTACGTGTGTTTTGCTTCTCTATAATCTATATCCCTCTTATTTCCTTCCAAATTTTTTATTTCTTTGTGGTCTATTATGTTGCAGATTAAGGAAACAGCAGAGGCAAGTAATGAAATCAATGATTCAGAACAAACTAACAAACCAGCACCATTTGCTGGTCCTTCACAAATTGAATCTCCACAAGTAATATTATCATCTTTTACACTACAACATTAATGAATTAAATTTATTCAGCCTCTTTTGAATATTCATACATGTTCATGTAGAGTGAAAGAGAACGTCATTTGCTTTCTCAAGATTCACAATCAAAGTCATCAGATTCTTCCTCCAATACAGCATCTTCTCAAGTAAGTTTATACTTTATTGCATTATTTTGAGTGACTGATTTTAGACTATAACACAGCTTGAAAACACTTGCATTCTAAAGTTATCTTACTTTACACTCTCCTAATATGAAATAGACTTGCAAGAACAACAAAAACTTTCTCTCTGCATTGACATATTGTAAACAAGTTCATATTTCTGGTATACCAGTGATGATAACTCCATCATCTGATTCAAATATTTTAAGAGCAAATCCCCAGCAAACACCTTCACTTGGTTATATCTTGTGAAATTTAATTAGCTAGTAAGGAAAATTGTTGCTGAAGAAATGGCACTAGAATTGACTGCAAGCTAATTTACTCTTTTGTGCTATGAACCAAAAACAAAGGAAACAGCGAAGCCAGCAAATGCTCATGAAGGTTCTAAATCAGATGAAGCTATCAAACCAAATCAAATCATGATTCCAGAATCAAGCAAGTCATCGCCAACAGCATTTGTTGTTCCTCCAGACAAAGAATATCCACATGTAAGAATATAGTCCTTCATTATACAGGTTGAATTTTTGCTCAATGATACAACTTTATGGTGCTTTTTGCAAATCTATGTACAACAACAACGAAACTTTATCCCACTAGGTGGGGTCGGCTATATGGATTATAAGATGCCATTGTGCTCTATCATTTATCAAGCTTTTAGGAATATTATTAATTAAGAGATCGCGTTCAATAACTTCCAAGAGTGTTCTCTTAGACCTTCCTCTACCTCTCTTAATCGGACTCAAAGTTATATATTCCACTCTTCTCACTGGTGCCTCCCTTGGTCTTCTTTGTACATGCCCAAACCATCTCAACCGATTTTCTACCATTTTTTCCTCAATAGGTGCCACCCTCACTTTTCGCGTACGTGCTCATTTCGAATTTTATCTTTACGTGTATGTCCGCACATCCATTGTAACATTCTCATCTCTGCTACTCCAATTTTATGCTCTTGCTGTCCCATTAGAGCCCAACATTCACTACTATATAACATTGCCAGTCTGATAGGAGTGCGATAAAACTTTCCTTTAAGTTTATTAGGCACCTTACGGTCACAAATAACTCCTTTAGCTTTTCTCCAATTAAACCATCCAGCTTGAATTCTATGTGAAATATCTCCACTGATTTCGCCATCATTTTGAATAATGGCTCCCAAATATCTAAACTTTTCCACTTGAGGTATAATTTGATCTCCCAATTTCACTTCCAAATTATTGTCAAATAATCCTTTACCAAATTTACAATATAAATATTCCGTCTTACTTTTACTCAGACAATAACCTTTCGACTCCAATGTCCTCCTCCATAACTCAAGTTTGCAATAAACCTCTTCTCTTGTCTCTGCTATAAGAACTATATCATCCGCGAAGAGCATACATTTCGGGATTTTCCTTGAATATGTTCCGTCAAAACATTTAAGATCAACTTGATTTTGCAAATCTATGTACATCTAGGATAATTTGGTTTGCCAAGAGGGCAAGGGCAAGAAAATCACATTGGATCAACAAGCACTTACGAAAACAGAATCTGATATGCATCCTGATGATTCACAAAAGGTTAATTAACAATCTACAAAAGAATATATTCTAATGCTTTACTGTCATAGAAACATGAATCTAATGTCATTCAGTGCTTTGCAGATTATTGAAGCAAGTGTTACAGAAACATCAAATAAAATTGCAATGGCAATTTCATCAACTGCTACTGGAACAAGTTCATCATTAGTATAAATAATTACTCTTTCAATTTTCCCTCCATTCATGTTTTTCCACTACTTTACTGACATTCGCTGACATTAATTTCTATTTTCTGGTCTTATTAGATCCCTTGAATTTCTACTCCCGAGAAGCTTCACATAGAGCCAGAGAGCTCACAGTCAGACCTATTTGATACTTACATTACTGAAACTGCACAAGTATGTTATAGTTTATTGCATTGTTTATGTTGATTAACCATTTACATGAAACGCTGCTCCTATTGCTTAGAGTCCTATATGAAACATGGAAACAAAGATCATATTTCTTACTGGATCGTATTAGTAAAAAATAATGCTTGTTTCTTCTTATTCACTCCAGGATGAAGTTCAGGTCACTGAAGCAGAGACTTGCAAGCCTTATGTGTCTAAACAACTTGAAGATGATGATCTAATGAAATTATTCAAGATAATGGAGGAAGGTGCTGACATGGAAGTTCACTTGCCTTCTGCATCTAAAATTGCTGCTCATGAAGATGATGATGCTCTTGCTAACTTAGAAGCCTCGTTAAAGATGAGTTTGAATGAAATAGCTAACTCCGAAGAAAGCAGACTTTGCCTTGAGAATTCTCTCAACATCTTGTCCTCTCATTATTCTGATGATGGCCTTAAAGCTACAATACCTCTTGCAACAAGAAATCCAAGCTATTCTGTCTTCCTTCAAGCAAGCCAATGATACCATTGAACAGTGACCAAGCTTGAACAAAAGAAAGCTTATGAATGAACAAGGTTCGCAACGAAAAGAAGCAGCCATGA